TCTCGCGTTGTCGTGCTGGAAGTAGACATGGGACCGCCGCCGTTGCGAATTTTGGACATTTGCCTTCAGTTCTCGTAATTGACGAATGCAGACGTCGCGGTTACTGTCTGCCACCTTTTCAACGAGCAGTTCCCAGTACTCTACGCCGTGTACGCTCCACCAAATACAGAGCATCACCTTTTTCGGGTGTGGACTGGGTTTGGGGACGTCGTTTGCGTCGGCATCTTTGTCGACCCATTGTGCACGGCGGTGAGAGTTAGAGTAGAGGACCCACTTCTCATCGCCAGTGATTATTTCGTCGAGCCAATGGTGGTGGCGCTTGAAGGTGAGCAACGAAAGTGCGACCTCGCACCGCCGATCCATGTCCCGCTGCGTCAGAGCATGGGGTACCCATCGACCGAGTTTCAGCACCTTGCCGATTGACTTCAAGCCGCGAACGACAGTAGTCTGACTCACCCCAAGAGCGGTCGCCATATCTCGAGTGGTTTGATACGGATCGGCTTCCACCTGTTTCCGCAGCGAGTCCAAATCCAGCTCCCTCGGGCGTCTCGCATGGTCTTCGTCTTCGATGGAATAGTTGCCCGACGCAAACTTCGAATGCCACAAGTAGACTGTACTTCTAGCGGGGGCATGCTCCTTGTAGACTTCCTTTAGGCGTCTGTCGATATCCGCGGGTTCTTGGCCAGATAGCGTTAGAAAGAGTATGACGTTGCGGAGGTGGTCTCTGGACGGCCTCCTGAAATCGTGCGGCATTGGCTGGCGGAATAAACTAGTTTGGAGTGTTACTTTGATTGCGTTTTGGAGAGCTTTTTATATTCTTTCCAACGGTACCTCGCGCGTCCATTTTCGTTCACTCGCTGGTGAGTTATGATCTCTAAAAATCATCACTACCATTTGTCCGAGCCATATCGACTCAACCTAATACTACTTATCAGGTAACCGCAGAAAGAATCCTTGACACATGGCACGATAATTTGGTACTCGGTCTAAAATGTTAGCAGGGTGCTGTATAGTGGGAAAATGGCGAAAAAATGAAGTGAAACGGTCGAGTCCTGCAAAGAAAAGCCTTCGCTCTTAAAGACCCAAAAAGCAATTTTGGACGAGTTTTCCGTAGGCACCTTGCCATTATACGGTAGGTATGGCTGCACCTATGTACTCATATATCCATACAGCACCGCAGCCGCTTCATACCAATCCCTTCGCTTCATATTTTACTTAGCAAATGAAGCAATACGAGCATCAGGTACGGTCCGTTTGTGGGCGGGCGGGCCCGGTGGGTGTCCGGATCGGGGTGTTACAGCTTGATAAGGCCTTATAAGGGTACCTACACCGGTAAAAGCGCTACGCAGGGCCTGCTCAGGGGCGCGGGATTCCGTCCTGCCAGACGTATTATTCCTACTCGTCTTAAGGATTTATCGTGCCAGCTGCCTTTGAGTGATGGATGAGGCATACGCATGATGTGAAGGAAAATCTGCAGTCTACTTCGCTGCGGATTTTGGAGCGTGTCAGGGGGCTGCGTTCAACGGGGCGCCATCCTGTTTTCCGCCTACTGTGGTCGTTTGCCGGCTTCCACAAACGCTTGAGAATGGGATGGCGCTGCGCCAAACTCAGCCCCATCCCGACACTTCTCAGCATCCGCAGCGAACAGGACTAACACCAAATATAACCAATTTAGGATACCTAGCACTAAGGCCACCTCAGCGCCAATTATACCCACAATGCATTTTCGCTCCACTATGTCTTTATCGTGGCCATGACGTTTTAACAATAGGCTCCTATTCGAGTTAGGCTGAATACATTCAGCTGAAAAATGGCCATCGAGCGTCACTTCTCCGCCTCCCGAATATCCACGACAACCACCGTCATCACTACTTCAAAAAACAGCGGCTGCGAAAGATCTATGCCTAACAACCGAGTCTAGCTTGTTTCACGTTGATATTGGATGCGAATCTAGGTAAAGGGCAAATTCGTCATGGACGACGGCCTCTATGAGCAATCGAGAGAGATTGAGAAGCGAGACGATCGAGAAGGAACTGGAGATTGCGGGGACCTTAAACTAGGCCTGCTGGCCCATAACTAAACCCCATCAATGCCAAATACTTTGTGATGTCACGGCAAATAATAACGGTGATAGCTGTCCAACCCTCTCCCATCTGACTATTACCCCACTTGGTCACGAGAGACCGCGCCAGATCGGACATGGAATAACAACTTTGAGTCATTGAACTGAATAAATACTCATTTAAACGCTTTAACAAATTACAATGGAAGTCGACAGCGTGGCGCAACCCAATAGGGTGCTGGAAATTTGATGTGTTTTGCAATGCCGCACCCCAAAAAAGAATTTGCCCAACGGCGAAAACTTTATCCGTCAGGTTATAGTATGGCTAAGTGAAGAAAATCCTTTTCATAGAATTGAGCCCTTTTGCTTGTGACATCATCATATCAATTAATCAGAATAACCTTCCATATTCAGTTGACGCTGCTGTGGAGTTCACAAAGAGAACGATAAAAAAAGATAACGATTCTTGTTCCATGCTGCTTTCCAAGACTCCGAAGTGACAAATCAAGAGATTGTGAATATTTCACTCAACAGGAAGTTCAAGTCGTGTCCGACCTACTTTGAGAAAAGAGGAGAGTCATATGAGGAGAAAGGACTAACTACCGGTGCGATTCAAAAAAGAACGATCATACTAGTTTCGGAAGAAAGTCGGAAAGCAAATCGCTTTTAGTGTCGTATTGGTTCTTGCTAGAGCGTTTTCGGTAATGTGGTAGCACATATAGAGTTCTATAAATCTCTTTCCTCTATAGCCACTGTCGAAAGAAGTTATTAAGGAAATTGCTCGCCTTCACGCTCGATCATGATCAAGGAAAAGGGCCAGCATTAACGCAAATGAATCTGATGACTTCCAAACTACTCACATCGAAAGAGGTCTCCTGGTCTACCACAAATCCACCTTCGCTTTCAAGAAAGCTCTATTAAGAATGAAGCTCAGTACATGATGACGTGGACTGACATAGAAAAGAGGGCGCATAGAAAAGAAGTTCGGCTTCCGTGGGGGCAACAAATGGCACTCAGCGAATCCTGGGCCACCTTGGGAAGACCTGTAAACTCTTGTCACCATAGCGGCTCATTTGCACCGTTCCGCAGCTTCACAAGGGTCTACAGTTCTCAACAAAGGAAGGGCTGTTAGTTAACAAGAACTAGAAAAAAGAACTAGCAAGAGCTCTGCATGCCCCTCCTGAGCGGCACAGCTTTTTCCTTTTTTTTCAAGAGGAAACCTAATTCCAGCAAAAAAAAAGAAAATTTGAGTCGTTCAGTCAAGCTCGAGGTGGTCTTAATAGCATGTCTTCATGGATTCACCAAAAGCATAACCAAAAACCACTCTATTCCTTTTATTAAAGTGACCAAATAGTCTTTCCGATCATAGCACACTATACAGTTCGCCACAGAAATGGGCAAAAAAAGCATCGTTAATATAGTTGGGCGAGGGGGGGGGGAAGGAAACAGGGACCCCTGAACCGTTTTTTGTATCAGTCTCCCAGAGCGGCTATGCTTGGAGCACGACGACCGGAGTCGCCAAAAGATAGTCCTGCAGAGAGGACATAGCGTCCACTGAGCCCATCCTCATTTGGAGGAAGAGATACGGAGGCGGCGATCGGTCCCAGAAGCGCTAAAAAGGTTACTGCATAAGGGACAAGTCGAAAGAAAAATGGAGCATTATTTTCAGATCTGTACATCAATAGCTCACTACTCACACTCCCTCATTTAAAAGGCTTCTGGGCGTTGTGTGCCCTAGGAGGGACCTTCTAGCAGGTCTACGCCAGGTCATGTTCTAATGCGATAAAATCACGTCATTCATGCTAGGAGAAAGTGAGATATGTCCACGTTGACCAAGTCATACCAGAACATGTTAGCGAAGAGGGTACAGACATGACATGTCTGCCCCTCTTCCCGCTCGACTGCAGATCTCGGAAAACAGTTCGTACAAGTGACAAGAGCTGAAAGGGAAAGGGGCACGCACCAGTCGAGAATTCGTGGGGAAGGGGAAATCCGCCAAGGCAAAACGTGCCCTGTGTGCTAAGGTGGTCCCTCCCAAGGCACACAGTCCATTTCTCTTCAAATACTCCAGAACCTCATTAAGAAAGATGGATGGAAAATGAAAGGGATGATAATACTCACTTGATAATATCGGATTTCTTAGAAATTATCAATGTCAGGCTAGTGAAATAAGGCAAACATCCTCCAACTGGCAACTTCAGTGGTCCTGAGGACAGTTCTAAAAATTCATGAGAGAATCCTGGCGACTTCAGAGAATCCTTAGGTAAACATACAAAATAAACAAATACTTTGCGATTTTATCGAAATAAACACATGTTAACAGTTAACAGTTCTTAACAAACGAAAAATATATTTGCACACGTTTTGACAAGAACTAACAACCAAAAATGTCTAATGCACACCATAAAGCATGTAACCGATACGCAATGTACATTTTGATACTCAAAGGCATCACTGATACAGCATCGGGATGGGTAATAGTAAGGGACAACCCCCCTTCCCGATCCGACCTTCCATTTCCTAAATTTCCCACTTCTTCAAAAAATTTTTTAGTCTGTAAACTTTCAGCTTGGAACCAAGATTGGGAATTGAAACATCAACAGATATTATTCGCAGAGAACCACATGGTAAGATCATAAAAATCCACATGTATACCCAGTCTGTCCCTAACAAATTTAATTTTTTCCTCGATTGGAAGTGGACGGGAGGAGGGGAAAGTGAGGAGAGGAGTTAGTTCAAAGTTCCGTCGCTAATATATGATCGAAGAAAAACCGCAAAAAGCCAACAACCAAAAAATTTCTCTCGCGAAAAGTTTCCGCCAAGACCAGGTACGACCTTCACTGATCGAATACGGACCTCTCTAACGACCAAATACGCCCGCCTCCCCTTTGATAGGATTCTCCCAACGATGCTGTACCCTGTTTGGACATAATAGTCACTAATGAATTCGAGAAATGTCCTCGATGAACTTGATCAGCTCCTCCGGCGATGATGAACCCTCTACCGCACCATCTATAAGAAAACATAATACATAAAAGCAAATAGATTTTTTAGAAGGGGAGAGTACTACCGGGCCATACTGCAAAGTTATGTGAAAATGTCGGACTAATCCTGTAAAAACCCCAAAAGGGAACAACTCCCCACAATAAAGAGAAACCAGTTTTGCACAGAAGAACTGGACCAGTTCCCGGAGTTGGTTCATTACCCTTGAGCCGCGTCCATACTTCGCGACACCAGCGGTTTGGAAATCGCGCGACTGTGGTCGACCGCAGATAGACCGCGCTCCAACGTTAATCGTTGGACCTGAGGATTCATTTAGCATTGCCAGCGGTCTAACGATTCCGGTAGAGCGCCATCCATCACAATCGCGCGATTAACAAATCGATCGAGTGAAGCATGAACGTATGCGTAATTGGAAATCCACATCCCCTTGCTCACAACCGTTTGTTAGCACTTACCAGAGCTAAAAGCCAGCATAAAAACGAATATTTGCTAACCTGGTCGCTGGATACCGGCCAATGCTGCAGCAGCTGTCTCCCGCGGCATATCCAGTAATGATTCCACTAAATCTCCATCAATGAAGCCTACTGCCTAAAAAATATACTTGCAATATGGAAACTCATATTCGGTTTCTGACTGGTGATCGTGAGCAGATCACCGAAAAACTGCCTGTCAGCGATTGGGTAGAGTGAGGGGTCAAGGATTCCCCCTTTCCACAAAGGTCAGCAACCTAATCAATATGCGTCTACTCCTTTCCATGGACTCCCTGATTGTCCGAAGACGCAGACTGCAAACAATGTCTAACCAGGGAAGTCCGCCAAATTACCATGGAACTTTGAATGGAGACCTGGGTAGATCGATAGAGTCTATAAGGTTATTTACAAATATAGATAGCAAAACTGCAACCTGCATTTCACAAGCAACTTATGAGCAGGTAAAGTTTGTAATGGTGCAGTAGGGTGGAAGGCTTGGTGGTGAGGCTGTGAAGCATAGGCGAGGAATCACTTACGTCGTCGAACGCGAACCTTACCACTGAACCACCACGACTCGCTTCGACTTATGCGATTCCTCGCTTATGCTTCACAGCTCACCACCAAGCCTCCACCCTGCACCATTACAAACTTTACCTGCTCATAAGTTGCTTGTGAAATGCAGGTTGCAGTTTTGCTATCTATATTTGTAAATAACCTTATAGACTCTATCGATCTACCCAGGTCTCCATTCAGTTCCATGGTAGGTTGGCGGACTTATCTGGTAAGGAAGCATTCGCATTTTGCGTCAGGGTTAAGCTGCTGACTCAAAACTCTAGACTGATACCTATACTTCCCTAAAAACACTACATTACGCTCATAACGCCGATGCAAATTACGAACGCTTTCTAGTAGATCTGTTCCTCATAACATCTCTTTTGAGCGAATACTCTCAAGAACCACATCTATAGAAATTGATACTGTACTCAAGTAAAAAGATGTTATAGAAGGATATTGAGTCTCACCTTATCTACAAGTTTTTCACTGGTAAATTGACGGTATACTGCGTGTTCAATTCGCATACAGTTGTCAGTCTCTTTAGCTACACCTTTTTCAACGTCGGAGAAAAACCTAAAGATACACTGAAAATGCTGACTTGTATAGCAATGAATGAGATACCAAAAAAGCCACTCTTTTCTCAAACCAAGCGAATAAATGAAGTTAGAAACTACACGAAAAGTATTTACACAAGAGAGGAACCTTGAAATTACCTGAAATATTTCTCTGGCAATTGCACAATAACCTTGAAATTACCTGAAATATTTCTCTGGCAATTGCACAATAAGTCCTATGGTGCCATCAACAGTTCCATAAAGAATAGGCTTCTCTATCGGTAGTGGATTGTCCACGTGACTTGAAACAAGCGATCCTCGTTGGAAAACATTCACCATTTCTCCAAGGTAGAACATGCCGGCTTCCTAAACATGGAGCAATATTAAACAATGGCGCATCCGGCAATGGGGGGGGGGATTGCTCGTTGCTTCTATCGTCATGCGATTGAGTTTCAAGGGTTGACAAGTACTGTCTGCAAACTTTAACTAGTATTGCTTAATGGCTTCACTAGATTCACAAATCTTTACTTCATGGCTCCGACACGAAAATGGAAAGCAGTGGAAGATGCAAAATGCCCTGCCTCCTCGTCGCCAAACTGTTCAAAGCTTGCGTAAAAAATACTGAAGCGCATTTTTTAACAAATAAATCGCCGAAAATGGGGAGAACTACACGGCTCTAGATCTAAGCAAGGATCCGTTCTAGTCACTTTATTTCAGAATCTCTAGTGTGGCGCATATAAGGCGCAACCAGAGTGAGATAAACTCACCGCTAGCCTGCGCTTTTCATCTGCATTATCTGCTCCCCTATCTATTTCGCAGGTGAACAGGTTATGCCCTGCTTCAGCTCCAAGTGCCGTTTCAGCATCGATGAATTCTACTGCTGACATCCACATTCCACGATAATCTCTGAAGAATGCAAGGGATGTTATTGACAAAATCTATCCAAAAACTATCAGGGCTTAACTGGAGCCTAAACGCCGGGAAAGATGGGAGCAAATGAAAATGAGGCAGACTTACTTGGCTACTTCTTCGAATGTGCTTTCCACTGCCTTGTAATTCAATATGGTCATTGAGCGCATAAGATCTCCCACCAGAACTTGATCGCCCTTAAGAACAACTAATTTACTTTTGTCTGGAAAACTTCATCACTACTTCACACCTTCACTTTAATGAACAGAGCTGTGATGTAGTTGAAATGAGAGCACTCCAAACGCAGCTCCTTCTCTGCAGTCCACTCAAACAGTCGGACAGAGCTGTAATACACATGGAACATATGTGGTTTTTCTTCGGGATCAAAGTACTGTTCGAGAACAGGGGAAGCGCCGGATTTAGTGATGTTAAATTAGGAGTTAACCAACTGCACTATATTTCCAGAGCTTAGGGTTGGGTTCGCTTTTTTCCCTGAGGGAAACTTTCTAGAACCTGTTTACCAGTCAATTGTGAAACTTTGACCCACAGTTGATAGCTGAGGCAATGTACAGTCTTCGCAACGACCCTCTACCATTGCGGCAGCGCTCCAAGGTGACCGACAGGAACTCGCCATAGGTAGGTATCTGTCTGCCGTCCTACTGCTGATAGAGTATGAGGGAATAGAAGCAAACGTGTATTCTCCCATACTTCCTAAAGGCAGTTGGCACGATAAATCCCCCAAGACGACTAGGATCAATACTCCTGGCAGGATAGAATTCCGCGACCCTGGGCAGGCGCTGCATAGCGGTTTCCCCGAGGAAGGTGCCCTTATAAGGGCCCTATCAAGCCACAACTTTACGTCCCAAACGCCCGCCACGCCCGCCCGCCCACAAATGGACGACCGTTCCTGACGCTCTAATCGATTCATTTGCTAAGCAAATTATGAAGCGAAGGGATTGGTATGAAGCGGCCGTGATGCATGGATATATGAGTACACATATGCAGCCGTACCTTCGGTAGCGGTTATTGGCAAGATGCCTACAGGAAACTCGTCCAAAATTGATTTGAACACACTGAGAACGTT